AACTCTAAAAACCCTGGAAGACAACCTTGGCAATACCCCCATCCTAGACATAGTAATGGGGAAAGATTTAATGAGAAAACATGAAAAGCAATCACAACAAAAGCAAAAAATGACAAGTGGGATCTAATTAAACTTAAGAATTTCTGCACAGCAAAAGAAACTGTTAACATGGTAAATAGACTGCCTAAAGAATGAGAGAATATATTTGCAAACTATGCAATGGACAAAGTTCTAATATCCAACATCTATAACAAACTTAAACAAATTGACAGGTGAAAAACAAAGGACCCCATAAAAAAGTGGGCAAAGGACAGGAACAGACACTTCTCAAGAGAACACATATGAGTGGCCAACAAGCAAATGAAAAAAAGGTCAATATCACTGATCATTGGAGAAATGCAAATCAAAACCACAATGAGACACCAACTCACACCTGTCAGAATATTTATTATTAAAAAGTCAAAAAATGGGCTGGGCGTGGTGGCTCACGCCTATAATCCCAGCACTTTGGGAGGCTGAGGCAGGTGGATCATGAGGTCAAGAGATCGAGACCATCCTGGTCAACAAGGTGAAACCCTGTCTCTACTAAAAATACAAAATATTAGCTGGGCATGGTGGTGTGTGCCTGTAGTACCAGCTACTCATCATGTAAAGAGATAAAGAAAATGGGAGGCTGAGGCAGGAGAATTGCTTGAACCCAGGAGGTGGAGGTTGTGGTGAGCCGAGATCATGCCATTGCACTCCAGTCTTGGTAACAACAGTGAACTCTGTCCCAAAAAAATAAATAAATAAATAAATAAAAAGAAAAAAAATAACAGATGCTAGCAAGATTGTGGAGAAAATGGAACATTTATATACTGTTGGTTGGAGAGTATATTAGTTCAGTCATTGTGGAAAGCAGAATGGCAATTCCTCAAAGAGCTAATAATTATTATTAAATGTACTATTTTTTTTCAGAAAACATATTACATACTCCTTTAAATCTTTAAAGACATGGAGAGGGATATTTAGTGGAATATAAATTAATAATATTTAGAATTAATTTCTTTAATATAACTCCGACCATGTGCCAAGGCCTGTGCTATTTGGCAAAATATTTTTCATGATTTCACAAAAAGAAAAAAATTATGCATGTTTTAATTCAAAATCTGAATCAATAAATTTAAACTTTTATTACTTTATGTTTTTATATCTTAGCAAGAAAGAAGGAGAGATCTGTATATTAAATCTTAATAAAGTTAAAATGGTTATATAGACTATATTGCTTCAGCAATATCATTTTCAATCCCATGGATAAAAACTCAGCCAGAAACTTTATAGTTCTATAACCATGAAAGGAATTAGGAAAAGAGAAAAATAAAAGAACTGAGTTTTTGTTGTGGTGGTGGTTTCAAATGGACACTATATAATAAAACAAAGACATGAAGCCAAGCTTCAGTTGCCACTTAAGCATTCAATTAAAATTGTTAACAATGGTGTAATGCACCAACAAAGCCACTGATGAGGACACATATATACTTAGCTGAAGCCATCTGTTCCCCAGGAGTGGAATGGCAACACTTGCAATCAAGAAATTGTTTGATTTCCTCTATGGACATTCTTCCTGAGTTATTGCAGAAATCAACTGACTACCTATTTGGGTATTTGATACTCGAATACATTTTATTTCAGCCTATGACTAGTAATTTGGAAGATATTCCCTTCAGTATTACTAAAATATTTACTGTTAATATTCTAATAAATGCAAAAATCAATAATCCTTTTCTAACTTTAATTATACTGAAAATTTTTACTATCTTACTACCTTTATAAAATGATCTAACTAGCCCTAACACATTTAAACATTACAATATACAATGTTAACATAATTTTGGATAGTTTCAAGGCTTATATTCAGGGATGGTTAATATTAGGTGTCAATTTGACTGGATTGAGGGATGCCTCAATGAATGATAAAACGTTGTTTCTGGGTGTGTTTGTGAGGCTGTTGTCAAGAAAGACTGACATTTGAGTTGGTGGACTGGTAGAGAAGACCCACCCTCAAAGTGGGTGGGCACCATCCAGCTGGCTGCCAGCATGACTATAACAAAACAGGCAGAAGAAGGTGGAAACAGCTTTGCTAGCTGACTTTTCTTATACTGTCTTTCTTATTCTCTGTGGCTAATGCTTGCTTCTGCTCCTAACACTCTTGGACATTAGACACAAGGTTTGTATTAGTCCGTTTTCACAGTGCTATAAAACAACTACCAGAAAATGGGTAATTTATAGACAAAAGAGGCTTAGCTGACCTACAGTTCCACATGGCTGAGGTGGCCTCAGAAAACTGACAGTCATAGTAGAAGACAAAGGGGAGCAAGACATGTCTTACATGGTGGCAGCAGAGAGAGTGCCAGCGGTGGGGGTTGGGGGGGACTGCCACACACATCTGTGCTATCGGATTTCATGAGAATTCACTCACTATTAGAAGAATGGCATGGGGAGAACCATCCCCATGATCTATTCGCTTCCCACCAGGACCCTTCTCTGATACATGGGGATTACAGTTCGAGATGAGACTTGGGTGGGAGTGCAAAGCCAAACCATATCAAGGCTCTTCAGCTTCTGTACCCTAGAACTGGCAGCAGCAGGTTCCTGGGACTTCTTATGCCTTTAGACAGTAGACTGTAGGCTACACTGTCAACTTCCTTGATTTTGAGACTTTCAGACATGAACTGAGTCACTACTGGCTTCTTTCTTTCCCCAGATTGTGGATGGCCTATGGATTTTGCCTTGTAATCACGTCAGCCAATTCTCCCTAATAGACTCCCTTTTATATATACATACGTTTTATTAGTTCTGTCCCTCTGGAGAACACTGATATCCCAATGTACTACATGATAAATATATTTTAATAAATATATATTCATTAAATCTTGAAGATAAAGATTTATTTCACTTCATTTCTGTAAAGTATTTGCTATGTAGCTGAGTTGTGAAACAAACAAATTAGAAATAATTTCTCTGAGAACAACCTAACTTTATTTTTAAATGTAAATAAATTGGTTAATAGGTATCCATATAAAGATGTTCTCACTCTGAATTTTAATTTTAAAACAAAAATAGATAAATCAACAATAAAGTGCCACTTCCCTTGGAGTGTCTTGTTAAATCTCTTCTGGTTTACTTCAGTGGTTCTTAGTTGTAGGCTTAGCGCATTTCCTAACGGTGCCTTTGTTTGGTGCCTTGGAGAGTCTCATACCTGAAACAACACACCTGTTGCCTAAAAAATGGGAGAGAAACAACTGTGAAAGGAGGGATGGAAATCAAGGGTTAATATATTGATATTCAGTCTTATCAATTTTAAAAAAGTCTATTGTCTTAGTCCATTTTGTGCTGCTATGACAAAATACCTGAGACTGGGTAATTTATAATGAACATAATTTATTGGTTTCTGCTTGTGGAGGCTGGGAAGTCCCAGTTGAAGGATTAAACACCTGGCGAAAGTCTCTTTGGTGTATCATCCCATGATAGAAGGCAACGAGAGAGGAAGAAAGAGCAAGAGATTGAACTGGGCCACAAGCCCTTTTATAACCAGCATTAATCTATTCAGGAGGGTGAAACCCTCATGATATAAAGACCTCTTGTAAAGCCCAACCTCTCAATATCATTGCATTTAGGATTACACTTCCAACACATGCTTTTAGGGGGGCACATTCCAACTATAGCATCGACCTATGGAATTGAGTATCTGGAAACTGGCATTTATGATCAAGCTAACATCTGAAAGTCTTCCTTTTTTTTAATTTGAAGATTTTTTTTCAAATCTTCTCCCTTGTGTTTTCTATAATGTCTATTAAAATCTTACTGCAATTATATAAAATGAGTAAAACATTTAGAGAGAGGATGTGCTTTCTGGACATGTTTTATTAAAGAAGGGGTATAATTAAATTCCGAAGACTGTATCTACGTGCCTGATTTGAACACCTAATAATTATATTTTTCCCCAAATCGCTTAACAGTTGACTTGCAAACCTGAGGGTAACAGAAATATCAGTTGCCTAATTCACATCAACTTAGTCTTATTTATTCCTCCATTCAAACCTTGGGTGGGTGGCACCATACAGACTTCTCAGGCCACAGTTTACTTGAAGGTGACAGGACATTGCTTCATGTGTATATCCCCACTTTGTTTTTAGCCCTGGGACTCTTACTATACAGTGGCCATCTGAAATGGCAAGAGTTCCTCAAAAAGATAGCGGAGTCATTCAGGGGTCTTCCTCAGTGCTGAAAAAAATAAGAGCTGATTGGAAAGCAAATCGCTGTTGGAGATATTCTGCCTTCTTCGCCAAAGATCCCTGCTGAAACAAGCCTCTCATCGTGATGATCTCAATAACTATACCTTCTACAGGCTTTTTCTTCTACCTCATCTCATGTTTTCTCTTCCCCAACTCATATTCTTACATCTAATAAAGAAATTTAACATAAGACCTTGTTCAAACTGTGCAGTTAGGGAACATAAGCTAAGGCACTATTGTGGAGGCTAAAGCAACCCCATCTTGGCTGCAAACCTGCCCTCTTGACTTCTGATTAACTACAGTTCCAGAAATGTTTCTAAGATTTTCACTTTCACTTACTTACTGCAAATGCTGCCTTAGGTTAAACAACCTTGATGTTACTACAAATACTCACTTGCCGTAAATTCCACCCCAGGCAATTTTTCTAAGGTATGTAAATTCTGGGTCTAGGGGATAATGGCTAGGGATCTATCATCTCATCTCACCACAAAACGTGACTTCTGTTGCCAAGTCTCTTGAATGTTTCTCTCTTGAGAAACTGTATTTGTGAGCCTCTTTCTCCTCCTCGCAGTTTTCGGCCTTTGTGGGTAAGTTTGCATAGACCTGCTTTCCACAAAATAATAATTAATAGAAGTAACTCTAGAGAGCAGACCCTGGGGATTCTAAAACTGCTTACTCACTGATTAGACAGTAATAAAAATTTCCCTACTTTAAGGAGCGAAATTGTGATAACTCCTGGTACAATCATTAAGACCCTCATCTATAGTGGACTGGAATAAAGCACAGGTAAAAGGATATCCTTGGCTTGCGCTTTTGAACAATTTTGTGTTTGTCTCATTTTACTGTTTTGAGAACTTTGTTAACTATTACTAATTTTTTAACTTCTCTTATTTTAGAAGTTATAGGAAAAAATGCACAGTTAGTTTAATTAGGTGTCAATTCAAGGAATAATGTGAAAGTCAGAAGTTCTATATGACAGTGTTGATAAAGATCCATGTCACAACGACCGTGGGGAGGCTGGGACACTCCAGCTCACTGACGGACCTGAAAGTGGGTTGCTGTTGAACTATAACCCTAATCAGGCACATTCTGAGTTATAACTGGTATATTTGGTTATTTCATCTTATGTAGAGGGAGGATCTACCTGAGGTAAAATATATATATATATATGTCTTGGAAGGGACAAATGACTTAATGTTTGGTCAGGGTTCTTAGAAGGTCTGATAAAATGAGATCAGAGAATGAGAATATGGATGGATTTATAGGAGGGGCAAAAGACGTGTTTTTGTGTGTGTGTTTTATATTTATGCCTAGCAAACATTACTGACTGCACAGGAAGCACTTAACAGTAAGCCAGGTAGACTAGTGTATCTTTACTTAAAAGGACCATTGCTTCTCATTTCCTATTGCTTTTGTTATGATTCCTTACAAATAAAATAAATTGTAAAAGGGATAAAAATCTGTATACTGTTTTAGCTCCCCTTAACCAAAGCTACTCTCACTTCTGATAATGCTGAATATACAGATTGTCATCAGCACAGATCAATAGATATGGCTTTTAACATAAATAAATGAATACAAAGTATATAATAATATGGTAGGTGGAGGCCAATATTGCAAACTAAATAAGTCAGTATGACAAAGAGGTGGATGCCTTTTTAAACAAGATAAACAGGCTTTTTGGATAAGAGGAGATTGGAGCAGAGATGTAAAAGAAAGAAGGAAAAAGGAATATAGATATGTGGAGAATGAATATTTCAGGAAGGTTGAAATTTAAGTTCAAAGTCTCTGGGGGCAGAAGTAGACCTTGTATAATGAAATAATAGCCAGTATGCAAGTGTAGCTGGTGTATCTGAACAAGGAAGAGAATATAACTCTATGAAGTCCACAGTGTAATAGGAGGGATGACTGGAAAGCTACAAAAATCTAAGTTCATGGGTATTATTATGAGTGAAGAAGCCATTGGAGAATTTGAGGAGGGAGTCATATGACCTTAGAGAATCTCTCTGTGAGGCACATTTTCTCCAAGAAATAATATTAATACCAGATACAGGGAGCTACAGTAAGAGCCTTAGGGAGAAATGATCACTGTTTAGACTAGGTTAGTACAAAGAAGATGGTGAACAGAAGTGGTCAAATCTTGGATATATATTTGTATACACACACACATACACACTTATGTACACATGTGTAAATAGATCAACCAAATCAGAAGGGAGATTAGGGAGGATGGGCTCAAAAGTCTATTTTAACTCTCGATTTTTTTAGTCATGGGTCAAAGGGATTAATCAAATAAATATATTTTGTTTCTTTATATAATTAGTAAGCCTAGAATTTGAATTATGTATATAAATGTACATAAACATAGTAATATGTAAAATATATATATTTCCAGATTAGACTCAACATTCCTTGTCTTTCAAACTTTTAATTATAAATATTTGGGTAAACATGTTGCATAACCTGGATTTTTTTTTCACATAGCCCAGAGATTCCTTAAAATTTCACTCACAGCTTAAGTTAAGAATATGTGTTCTCTGTTGGTATTTAATACTTAGACATTTTTATTAACAATTTTCTTTGCCAATCTTTTTACATTACTTCACAAAAATTACGGTAAATGACAAAACTATTTAAACCTTAAAAGTTACTATTTTAGAAATAGAGACAGAATTACTGTGACTTTTGTTAGAGATTGCTTTTATGTCATGACTTCAACGGATGCACTTTCAGAAAACCTGCCCTGGATGCATCACCGTGATGTGTGAGATGCCACATCGTGAATCACAGCTGAGATGTAATTCATTTCCACTTAGACACATGTCTTCAACTTTTACAATAAAGTTTACTGAAAAATGAATTTGTTAAAAAGATCAACTTTCCTCAATAATATTTTTTCCCTTGATGTTAACTTTTATAGTACTTTTCAATGGCTTTCCATTAGGATTTTAAATTGACATTTGAAATGACCTATCTAAAGATAAGAGCCCAAACACCAGAGACAATAAACCCCATTCACCTAAGGGAGTTCAGGGTGAATTCTTTCATTCCAGTTCTTGTTTTCTTCTCTGGGAAGCCACAGATTCCTCACCTTTAAAGACTTCAGCCGTCCCAAACTCTCCCTTGTTTCTCATGCTGTCCTTCCTCTGCAGCTGCCATAAATATTTTCTATCATTTTCATGGTTTAGCAGATCTAGAATTAAAAAATAATAAATCCAAACAGTTTAACCTAAACTCTATGGATTTACTTATCATTAAAGTTTCACATAAATGCTTCTCCCACCAAACTACAATACGCCTAGTTGACAGAATGGTTGTGTGGTTAAAACACAGACAAGGAAGCCACTCTTTAATTCTAAATGTATTATCTTTGCAGATCCAACTGAGGAAGGAGACCCAAGCATCTAAGGCCACCTCTCCCTTGACCTCCACATTGCACTTCGACAGAAGAAAAGACTGGCCTACTAGCGCCTCCTAAATCACCTTCCTATAGATAGCAGGTTTGATATGGGGGAATCTCTCTGGAAGACTTTGTTTTTACTCAAACAAGATCAAATCCTCACCCACTCCTCCTCCATCCACTTCTTCTCCATCAACCAACACCCTTTCACATGTAATTTCTAAGGCTGTAAACCTAAGATTTTTTACGTGTAATATCCAGAGTGTAAGCCTGTATAAAGCCAGAGCTTCCCTTTGTTGAGGGAGCTTTGTTGTTAGACAAATTGTCACCTCACTCCCGGTCGTAATAATAAAAAAACACCTCTTCCTTCCTAGTTTCCAAGAGGTCTGTTTCTTGCCAATGATCCCACTTCACAACTAGCATTTTGCAAGTCACCTACTATCATGTTTCTCCTTACTAATTTGAATTGGCTTATATATATATTCATAATTATTTAGGTTATGCCTTAGATCCACGCTGATATTCACACAGACACTGAGGGTATATGTGTAGGATTGCATGTAACTTGAGGATAAAGATTTCAATTCTGTTTATGAATCAGTTGCTCTGGATACCTATCTGTCAAAGAGTTTTAGATCAGGAAAAAAAATGGCATGCAAACTTAATGTTCAATTTACAGATGAGAAAAGCAAAGCCCAAGGAGAAGAAGTGACCGATTCCATGGTAGATGGATAATTATTGAGGGAGTGGTAACTAGAAGGCAAGTTCCTTGTCATTCAATTGCACATGTTTTAAATCTATAACACAATATTACTAATTGATTAGGGTGTTCGAAAAACTAGCAAACTAATGATGTATTTCCTAAAAATGTTAAATTACAGGAATAATTCATAGATGAAAACATCTACAATTTCCTATTAGGAAAAATATGAAGCACGCAGCCTACAGCATCCAGCCTACAACACGCTTGTAAGTTTTTGAACTAAAAATGAAACTAATCCTCTTGATATTAACCTCAAGTTTAAATTAGCAAATCCTATGTAATTACAGTTCAGTGTTTAAATAGGATTTACGTGAGGAGGGATTGCTTCAGTTTTACAGAGAAGCTGACAGAATGCCGAAAGTTAATATACTCCTCCAGGCTAACATTGCGTCTGCTATGAAGACAAACTTCATCTTTACTGAAACTTCAGAGATGAGGAATGTGAATTATTGCCTAGATGGATAATGATTATTCACTACAACACTCTATCCTCTTTTTTAAAAAGATGTTTCTCTGCATAAGGCATAAATATTAATAAAGGCTTTTGTTCAGGAATCAGTACTATGATCAGAGAAGTATGAGGAATCCATACTTTTACAGTTGAGTTAGCCTGAGGGGAAACAAATGCCTGACCTATATCAGATCACCCCAGCAATCACTGAGGGAGATAACAAATCTCAAATCAAGCAAGCACCATTTCCTAATGACAGAAATATTTCTGAGGACAATGGATAAAGCAGAAACATTTGCTTTGGAACTGCCCTAGAAATGACGCATAAAATGAAAGGGGTACTCCAAACACAAAGGGACTTTCTTTTTGTTAAGACAAAAAGAAAGGGGAAAGGTGAGACATAGGTACGTTCAAAGTATTCAGAACTCACACACAGCAAAGCCTCCCTTGTAGCCATATGAATTTCACACATCCAGCTCTTTATTTGTAGTTTAAAGGAGGCACTTATTTCAAAATGTTATGATTAGAAGAGGATACATAGTCCAGAAACAAGGATCTTCGAACTTTATGTGAACCCATCATCTTTTTCTTCTGTAACTGCTGAGGCATTGCCCATATGTTGCTTTGGGAAACATGTTAGTGTAGTACCTCACTACTGTATTCTTAGAAAGGCCTAATCTTTGAAATAAATGTGCTACTCAATTTCTGCATAACTCATATTAGGTGACTTTAAAATATCAGAAACAATTTTATTCTGAGCTACTCTATTATTTTCCTTTTAAATTGAGGGGATGAAGGCAACAGGTATTAACATTGTTAGTCAGATGCGTGTGTCATAAAATAATTGGATAATCTACTCTATTGAGAATATTTCAAGTATACTTGCATTCACTCTATTTCCTTGATAAACTGCCAATCTGAAAAGTTTAATGTAGAAAATTATTAAATTATGTCATGTCCTGAAACTATGTAGCAAACATATCCAACAGGTGTATGTTGACCTAAATGGAAAACATGGACCAAAATTATAATGTAGCAATTTATGAGCAAGTATGATATACCAGCTTAGGATCTGCATTAGATCGCTCTACCTCTAAATCCACACCTTGTTTTTTCTCATATGTTAGACCGAATTCTTCAGTATGAGGTCACTCAGACTCTAAATTAATCTG